TGGTTAGCTGGTGATGGGTAAAACCGAGAGACAGCGGCCAATAATAAAAGCCGCTAATAACCCAGTCTATCTCCTCCATCTCACTCACTTCCCACTCCGTTCGTTCCTGAGATTAAGAGGAGTGGGATATAATGGAAAAATAGTTTGTATGTGGCCTGCTGTCAAGAATTCTTGGTTATAGACTGTTATCTGTAAAATCCTTGACTCGCCTTCTCCTTCCTCACTCTCTCCTCTTCTCACGGTCATTTGTCCCTTCATTCACTTCCTTCATCTCATGGACACTCCCGAACGAAGAGAGGAAGAGAGTGGACATGTGGATGAGGATGGGTTGGGTCATTCCTTTCTCCCAACCTCAACCAGCAGAACTTGGACTCCAAGCGATTATCAGTCGTTGTTCAGGCAACGAATAGGGAATAGGTCTGTGGCTCAGAATGCCACGCCCCAACCCCCCCTAACAAAGAGAAAGCACCGCAAGTCGATCCCACGGAGAATCAGTCGCAAAATCAAATTAACAGTGCAGTTGCAGCTTGATCTGCTCAGAACTCCTCCGCCACCATTCCTTCCTCATTTTCTGAGACCCTATGTTTACTCCCATCTACCCTTTACTTGGTCCAAGAAACAGGTTGGGGGTCGAAAAGACTTCCTGGTCCATTCGGTACAAACTCGAAGTTCGTGGCTCCGGACGAGGCGCCGAGCGGACCGCCTGCGAGTTGCGCTCCCCTGACAAGGAGGCAGAATCCATCGGCATCTGCCCCGCGGTCAGCGAGTAGCCGAAGGCCTCCGAAGCAAAAACCATTTTAGACAGAGCGAGATTGCTCCAAATGCGTTTGTGGAATTCAGCAGTTGGAGACGCAGCTGTGTTGTACATGAACTATTCTTCCCCTCGAAATCCGCTGGTAGGGACAACCCGAAAGGAACCTGACCAGAGGTGGCAGATTGCATCTTTCACTGGCGTTTAGGGCTTAGCCCCTTTACCCCTTTTCGTGATGGTGTTGGCGCACCCTACCATCCATTCCGCGGAAAGGGCTCGGGCCCAAAGGCTCAAGGCTCTGAGGCTTATTTCGGGCCCAATGAAAAATGGTCCGAAAATTCCAGACGGTGTGAGTTTGAACTAGTAATACGCCTTTATCTCCCACAACACTCCTTTTTAGGGGAGTCCGACCTATAAATTTCACACATCCATCTGTCAAAATTGGTCTCCTTTGCTTCTCTCCAAGAACCCTCCAGAAAGGGTATCTTCAGGCACGCCCATGTCGGGTTTTGCGGCTGAGTACACGAAGTCTGCGCAAGTTACTAGCAGGCCAACCAACGGGAAGGGGACAAGTTGCTATAAATATTTCCGAGGGGCTATCCTTCTGACATGCCGCTGCCTGACAGCTCCAAGAAACCGTACAGCACTGCAGCATCAAACCAAATGCTCATAAAGGGATTCATGGACATAGGTCCAGCGTGCTTTTTAGGTCCGCTTGGCAATGGAAGGCGTATATCCACCATGATTCGCAATCAGGTGACTCAGACCCGGTAAGGGGTCTTCCCAAAATCTTGCGGAGAGTGGATTTCCTCCTGGCGCCTGTGCCACCTCAACCCGGGGTTTGACTCACCGACTCACCGGTGGCTTCGTACCTCGGAGAGGAAGCCCACCAAGGGTGCACCGCAGAAGGCCGAGACAGTGCCCTCGAAGGCGATCCTGGCGCAGGGAGTCGGAAAATTCCGGGGGGGGGGCTTTTGTTTTTTTTGGCGATGCGGATCACACCCCAAAAGATTGGCGATACCCAGAAAGCGACATCTTGGGACCGGCGAGGGCGAGGGCAACCTTGCAAGGCTTCGAAGGCATACTGTACCGACCAAGTTTTGGGAAGCACCATTCTCGGGTATTGGCAATAGTCATTGTCAGACGCTGCTTGAAAGGGTAGCAAGTGACGCTAACAGAACTGTCTCTACAATCGGTAGAGGAAACACAAGTCAAAGCCTAAGTGCAAAGATTGATACGTCACTCAGCACGCTGACATCCAGTTGAGGCTAGCAGGAGCTTTGCCACACGGCGCCACCACACCACCCGTCAGCCAAACTCAGCAATTTTTTGACAACAAATCGTTCCTACCAAGCACTTACCTCCGGATCCTTTGCTGATTTTTTTCCTGACATTTTCTGACTAGCCGCTGAATCCACTCTGTCTCAAATTGGGTCTCCCGTTAAACCAACCTCAACAAGAGTACCTGGGCCTCAAACTGTCCTTCAACATGTGTCTCCCCAACCGCCTGGGGTGTGCTTTCCTTTTCTTCAGGGCAGTTTGAGGGTCCAGGTACGCTCAAAGACACCTTCATTCTTTCGTCTCGGGTTCCGATTGCCGGACCGGTCCAGAGCGCCAGGATCTGCGCGCGGTCGCGGCTGTCGCGGACCACGTCGCCGCAAATGGGCCGCAGGGCGGCCGCTGGGGACCTGGGAAACGGCTGCGGTTTGAACAAGCAAACCCTGAGGCTGCGGTTCCCTTGAAAGGGAAACCCAAAGGTTGCTTCAACAGTGGCTTTAACGATGCTTGAACAGGGTGGCCAAATTTTTGGTCATGAATTACCCCAAGGCTCATGATATTTGGGTCATACAGGGCGGCCCGGGGATCTGACCCTTAAAGAGTGCCCAATCCTTCAAACGCGTTCCGACAGCTGCCGCCGCAAATGTCGCGCCTGAATGGTCTTTAGGGGTCCTTATCAATGGCTGTCCATGTTATTCGAAAATAGCTCTTTGTAGTGTCCACTGCTGATTGACTCCATGCAGCGAGAAGACACATTCCGCTGAGGATCTCCAATAGAATCACGTTCGCACCCGGGTTGGTTTATTCAGGCTTGTGAAAAGCAAGTAAATATTGAAGCAACCACAAGAAACTATGCCTCAAGGTGTCATGCTGCAAATTGCCAGCTTCCAATGGTCAAGGACACGGTTTTTCGAGGACCGTGTGGCACTGTAAACGGCAAGCACGCAAAACGGACACGCACACAAAGACACACGCACACACACAGACACAGACACAGACACAGACACAGAGAGACAGAGAGACAGAGAGACAGAGAGACAGAGAGACAAAGAGACAGAGAGACAGAGAGACAGAGAGACAGAGAGACACAGAGACACCAAGACAGAGAGACACAGAGAATTAGAAACACAAAGACACAGAGACACAGAGACACAGAAACACAGACACACACAGACAAGACACAGAGACACAGAAACACAGACACACAGACAAGACACACAGACAAGACACAGAGACACAGAAACACAGAGACACGGACAAGACACACAGACACAGACACAGACACAGACACAGACACAGACACAGACACAGACACAGACACAGACACAGACACAGACACACACAATCAAAACCTGGTATTAAAATGGTTGACCCAGAACCATCTAAGGAAATACACATCTCATTCTACGATTCTCAAAGTCACCCCCAACTCGGGAAGTTTCAAGTGCTTCTAAATCCCAAGCCCCCTAGAGACAAGGCCCCAGACACAAGGTTATGGGATAGGAAACCGAGTTGTTCAACACCCACACATACACTTTGGCAATGAGTTGAAAAGGTAACAGTGTGATCCTCAACTTGAAGCAACCACGCGCTGGCAAACGAGGACGTTTCGGGCCAGAATTGCAATGGCCCGCCTAACTTAACCATAGCCAGTTAAAGGCGTCCTGCCGGGGCAGCGACCAGCAGGCAGTCAGGTTGAACATGAAGAAGAAGCCAATGACGATCCAAAAGCTGGCTGGGGAGTATGGAGTTCCCATCACCTTAGTAAGCCACTCTCCAACAAACTGCAAAATAAAAGGCACTCTGCTCTAATATGACTCAATGATGATTAACTTGAAAGATCACAAGGATGCATGTGATTGTTCGGTCAACGGCCAGACCTGTTTCCGGGCAGCTAACCCCGTGCCAGGTTTCACAGGGACGCCAAAGACGAATCAAGTTGGAACTGCCCGCAGCCAGTTGCACCAATTCACTTCAACAACCCTCTTCCCAAATACCCCTAAGGAACATATGGCGTAGGGTTCAGGGTTTGCGATGGGTGTGGAATTGTGCGTTTGGGTGTCTGTCTTCCAATAGCACTGACGCGATAGAATCCACAGGTTCTCCCCTTTCAAGCTTCGGGACAGTTGCATTGCACCAAAACCTGCAATTGCTCACTGCCACACTGCATCGATACGCGCTTAGCCCCGTCAAAGGTCGGCACCCCCAGGAAGCACATGATGCCCAGGACCACCGAGAGCTGTGCCACGAGGCACCTAAGCCAAGGGAGCAGTGTAAGCTTTCAGAGGACCTCCAAAGCACATTTGACATCTGTGTATATTTTCAGAGAAAACCTAGGAGAAATACGCATTGCATCCGTAGGAGCCAGCTTACAGTTGTTCTTTGTTCCTCTATTGGGGCCGTGCCTACCTCAGCTTTTGCCTAGATGACATCTTAGGCCCCGACCGAATGCAGTGCCCCCACTTGGGGGCCCCTAGATTAGGGCCAAAAAAGCGGTTGGCCTTTCTAGTAAGAGCTGACCAAATTTGTTTATACACCCCTACCCCATTGAGATGCATGTGCGTTGAATTCCTAACCAGTTGTCCCTCTTGTTTGAAGCGTTCTAGTCGCACTTTTGTGAAACATCGTGCACTAGTGTGTGAGGCAACCCTTTCAGGTAAAACTGTGGATAAAGCGGCTGGAAGCTGGCCAGTGGATCGTGTTACATACGCAGCAAACTGACTGTAGGACGCCGCATTCATCATGCATTCAAACGCTCATGTTGAATACCACGCTACCACACAATGTTGCTCAACACCCGAAGGCCCCTTGTGACACGCCGATTTCCGATTTCCAAAAATTGGGCTCAAAACCAGATGCTACCCCAGCAACATGATCTTAATTTGCAAGAAAGTCGAACACCAAGGAAATTAACGGGTGGCTTTCACATAGGGCTCCTCTAAGCTGGCTGGTTTCTTTATGATCTCCTTTGAATGCCAAAAAGCGGGTGCCACCGGTTTTAGCAGCTCCCAAACTCGGAACTTCCTCGTAGACTCCTCTCCCGTTCCACCCCCTTCCCCCCACATCGAGCCTGCCACAGTAGGGCCACCAGCGATGCGCGCGATCCCCCAGCTTGCCGCCAAGCAGGCCCCCGAACATGCCCCCCACTCCTCGCGGGACAAATCCACACGTGTGGCACCGGTTGGGATGGATGAAACCATGTGAAAATTGGGGATAAACCAATTTTGTCCATCCACCAAATCAACCCTGCGAGTCGCAGGACTTGTGATAGCGGATGCCTGCTCACCACTTTTGGGATCATGGTTGGCTGGAATCCTCTTAGGACTCAGGACGATGAACACAGTATTTTCGCTTTTCCGAATTTATGACAAGGCATACCTCAACCTTCCCCAGAATGTTCTCCCCTAGGGGAGACGATCGCCTTCGAGGAACCAAACAAAAATCCAGGTTACTCAAACTCGAGGACGCGCTTCATGTGGTTGACTGACTGGGGGTTGGGGAAGGCGCGTTATTTTGAGCCACGCCCAAATCTCAGATCATCCCCCGGTGACGCTTTGGATTGGTGGTTTGGGGATCTGAGCCTCTTGTTCTTACTGAGAGGGAAAAACAAATCCAATCGACCAATCCAAACCTCCAAATAAAGGAGAAGCTGAAAATCCCCAACCCTGAAAGCCGAGGGTTACCACCCATAACCACAAGCCCACTACACATGCTTGCGAGGGCGATTGGGGAACGCAAAAGGCAAAGCAAGTCTTGAATTCTGAGTATTCTGCTGGGCATTCAATTCAGCGGGCTACGAGGCTCAGGTAGACAAACACACTGCCAAGTCAAAACGTTCACTCGCTTCATGTACGCCAAGCGTGATGTTGTTCGGAGCATGAGTCAAAGCAAGCGTGAAAATTGTGGATCCAAGGATAGCCACCATGCGCAAGAAGTGGCCAAACCCAAGCCACTGCATGCCTTGCAAACCTACCCAAAAGGGCCGTTTTACAGTTGTCAGCCGCTGCAAGAAACCAACAGCACCCATACCAATCAAAGCTTCACATCAAGCATGTCAATGTGTTGCTTGATTTCAAGTTGTGCTCTTGCAATGTTTGAGTTCTGGTGTCTCCGTTGAACTTTTGTGTTTGTCGATTTAATGCGTTGGCTGGCTGGCTGCTTGCTTGGTTGGTTGCCTGGTTGCAGCCGTCTTCGTTTATCCCGTGTTAAACTCATCCCGCGGCAAGAGTTGAACTTCGAACCTACCCCCCTCCCACTAACATGGCACCTGACAGGGGGTCCCTTGAAGAGGAAAATGATTTTCCAGGTGCCCTCTAACAGTTGCTATGTTAGTGGGAGGGTACCCTTTCAGGGGTAAATCATGAATATCCCTGAGTTCCCTGCCCTCCGGCCCTCCTCCATACAGCAGGATCTGCGCCGCCTGGGCATCTGTGTACCCACTCAGCTGGAAGTAGAAGGGCAGGAAGGCGAAGGCATTCCAGGGGATGCCCCCGGTGACACCTGGCGACGCGACGCTTCCGACACCATTTCTCTCGAGACATGGGTATGGGTCAAAATTAAAGCACCAGGGGACCGCAGGTTTTAGTCCTTCGTTCCATTAACTGGGGTTCTAAAATGAATACCCATTTTTGACCCACAGCCACATAAACAGTTGCCATGCTTAAAGTACGGAACTTTATCTTTGGCAGCATCGCTTCGAAGTCCAACATGAATTGTAGAGCTCGCTTTAACTGGGAGACTGTTTTGGGTGATCCACTCTATGTTGCAATCATCCCATTGGACAACAAAGGACAATTCTGGAAGGCACGACATGGCTGAAACCCATCATGTTGCTGTAGCTGTGTGCTAGAAGCATCTGCACTGATTGCTACCTGCAATCGCAACCGCATGTTTGATACCAGGTTTGCCCAAGCTACAAACAATCCATCACTAGCATATTGCGGTGTTGTCTGTGTAACCTGTGATTCCCCTGTGCATTGGTGAGTTGACTAGGACAGGTGATTCTTCTCCAGCCATGACTGGGCGAGCGCAGAAAGCGCAGCATCCGCCCTTTCGGTCTGCACCTCGTCCATCCTTGCATCTGTCCTATGCGTCTTCGCCAGACGTAGATCCCCTTCAAAGAAGTGAGCCTTTTGTTGGCTAACAGGGAGCATGAGGAACACTCAGGACGGCAAAAGGTTAAAAAAGGCTCAGTCATGGAGACAGCGAGGCAGCAAGTCGCTCGCGGCCGCGCGAGACTGACCTTGCAACAAAATGCCGACCTGATGACGGGGATACCGCAATGACCTCAGAAGCCTCTCCGTTCGCAGAGCATTTCGACGAAAGCAGCCACCAGCGTGTTTTTCAACTTCCTCTTGGAACTTTTGCAGCGGCAAATGCAAAACATTTGAGACGGCGGCAACCTCCATAGCCCTGAGAAGGCTTTGAACGGGCGAACACATTCTTGGGAAAGTACTTGCCTGCACGCCTCTGAATAAGAAAACAGCAGCCCTTGAAGGATTGTGATAAGGGATCTGGCAAACGAGCTGGCCACAAAAGCGCGTGTACCCTCAATGGGACTACAAACCTATATTGGATGAATCAACAACACACGTCCTAGCCACATAGAGGGACAACTTATGATCTCTTCCTCTAAAAACCTGCATCAAATGGCTGCATGGTGGATGGTGTGATACAACAAGCGGGAGCGATTTCCAGAATCGCTTCCAGGGGTTCTTGTCGCATCGGTGAAGCCCAAATTCTGGGTTTCCTTGCCCTTGACCCAAAAACCTGACCGAACGCTGCCTGAGATTCTTAGTTCTGGATCGATTTGGTCGAGAGTTGCTCTCAGATGCCCAGTGGCCATGGGAAAAAAGGGCCACCTTTTTTTGATTGGTTGACTTCAAAGAGGAACCCTTCCCAAGAAAAGTTGAAAAAAGGAAGCAACCCACTGGGCAACTGGGTGCTTCCCCCGGCCTTGTAGCACCATGAGCAGGAACGAGGGCTTCTTGCACACCAGCTTCACCACCCGGGCCTGGCACACGCCATGCGGCCATGCATTTGTGGGTGTGTCAAAATGGACCTGTGTCGTGGACCCCCTTTAAGTAGTTGAAGGGAAACCTATTTCCAGGTGTCCCTATTTAGGTGTCTCCTGTTTTGGGAAGCACCCAAATGGCCAACATGGTTGCCTTCTCGACTTCCGCAAGGTGAAACTGGGTGGATTCCTCCGAGTTCCCATGATGTACCATGGCACATGTGTGGGGACAGAGCGGAGGTGCCTTGGCATGGCCAGACATGAAGCTAAAAAGCTACATGCTTTGCACGCCATTCGACCTGCCACACCTGACGAGTGCGTCAGCTCGACAACAACCAAAATAGAAGACAAGGTGATCATGTACTGGTGGGGTCTACTTCCCTACATGGCATTGGGATGCCCCAAACAGCAAACAAGACTCTCAGGCTGATGTCAGCCAGCTTGACTCCAGGGGATATTGCAGACTCAACAAAACTTACATCTGCTAATCAGTCAACGGGTGACAAGAGGCTGCACAAGGTGGCCGATATGTGGACAAATCGCCTGTTTGCGTTGCGGAAGGGCTCAAATGAACCGGGGCGCGCAAGCAAGTGTGAGAGAAAGCCTTGCCTAGCCCTGTCACGGGCATAAAACCCCCGCCCCTACGGAGACAGTAGGGACTGACAGTGGCTTTACCCCAAGATAGTATGTTCAGCCACAAGGGGAAATGCAGCGCCACTGCCCCTTACACATGATGGTGATGCTAAGCCATGTATCAGTATCCATGTTAAGCCCAGAATCCGCCTGGCGGATGTCAATGGCTGTGCACATCGACCGCCCAAAATCCCCGCCTGCTCTTCGGTCCAGCTCCGCTCCTTCGGTGTAGACGCCGAAAGCTTTGCTGGCACCTGCCAGTTGGCAACCAGAATGAAGAACCCCGCTGACTCATAGGTGTCCTATTCAAGAGCAACATGCGTATTTCAGAAAAGGATCTCCCCATATTTGATCCTGGTTCATCCGACATGAAATCGCCCCATACTTGGGACTACGCTGTTCAAGAAGGGGCCCCTGTCCCTTTGCGAGATATGGCCACTATGGCCATATCCGTTTCACAGCCTCGGATTGACAGCGTCAAAGCGAGTTGGTCCTTGTGATTTCCCCAAGTCTCTGGGTTTTCGTGGGCGAAGCAAGGAAGGCGAGGGCTAGGAAGGTCCAGGTGGCCAGTGAGATGATCTGGAACCCATATCCCGGGTTCGCCCGGCATTCCTCCCCGGTGCCTCCGTCATCACCAGCATGCCCGCGCAGAAGGACACAAAGGCCACAGCCGAATATGCGAGACCTGCAAATCTCAGGCCATGTGGCTGTGGGTCAAAACCAATGGTACCATGTTGGGGTAGGTGCACCACCCATTTTAGTCTACTTTAGTGGGGATTGGGATGTTCACTGGGAGTATTTTAACCCATGGCCATGTTTGTTGGGATGCATATTTGAAACGTACATGGAGCATCGGCCTAGCAAACCCTATCAGTCGCATGCCTTCCTTCAACAGGCCCTTCAAATCCTGGCCACTCAAAGCCAGGGCCTGTCTTTCTTGATTGTTCATTTGCTGTCTTAAAGGGAAGCCAAAGTGAAACCACTCATTTTCAGGGTTCCTCCACTTTGAGACAACCCCACATGCAATGTTCAGCCAAAGCTGCGCCAGCCATGCATGCCATAGTAGACATTGCGGGCCATGGAGGTGGTGAAAAAGGTGGTCAGAATACTCCTCGGATTCGCAAGCACCACCAACATATTTGTCGTCCGCCGTTTGCTCAAACTATGCCCTTTGCTGCGCAAACGGAAATCAAGTGCGGGCGATATGATGTGGACCGCATGCCACAAGAAAAGGGCACCCTCACGCCAAGCTGACACCAATCCGGGTGGATCTCTTTTGCCCAGGGCGCAGGATGGTGGACACGGACTGCAGGAGCCCAAAGGCGCTGCCACGATCCTGTTCCGGCACCAGGTCGCAAATCATGGCCTGCCCGATAGGGTTCACCACCTCAGTGTGGAAACGCCACCAAATTTCTGCAGGGAACAAACGAAACCCTGGAATGGTTCATGGTTTGCGGGATGTGCTTGCAATGGCATCTACTGTACCACCAGTCAAAATGAGCCCATCAAAAGCTGGTTGGGCAAGCACGTGCGGCACCTCAGAAACACGATCACAACCACAACCACAACCACAAACACAAACAAACAAACAAACAAACAAACAAACAAACAAACAAACAAACAAACAAACAAACAAACACACTTGCCCTGCAGAGAACCAAGCCCATTTCATGCCGCAGCCAGGCCGCTGCAAGGGATGCGCCAATCAGGAGACGCAGCGCCACGTGCACCATGTAATTGGAGCCTGACAAAGGCAAACTTCAGGATCTCCGCAGTCTCAAGCAGGGGGTCTGAACGAACGACCGGTTCTCGTTTGTTTTCATTTTAGGCTTGTGGAAAATTACAGAATCATGGGCGATCAAGTGCCTAGTCCTATTCCAGTGGCATGATAGTTCCCAGCCAAGCAGATTGAGGTTGGAACACATTTTTCAATGGCAGCATGAAACAGCAATCGTTTATCCTTCCACAAGGTGAATATCAACACCTCCTTGTTTCCTTGCCCCGTGGAAGCTTGTCCGGAATCAAAACCACTCCTCTGGAAGAGCAGCATGCTGTGACGCCTGTCCAACGGGGGGCTGCTCGCTTCCTGGCTTGGATTGGTTTGAGCAACTAGTGTCAAGGTTATATCTGATGTGTGTAAGACTTGAACTGAACCGACTGCGGTTCTTGACCTTTTGTCACCTAAAAGGAGATTCCCTGGGTTTCATAGCAAGCGACCTTAAAAACCCCACTTCCCACAACCATGCACCTGAGGCTGCTTTGTGTGGCTCCTTTCGCCTTTGCCAAGGAGCTGCATGCTGCCGCCAGAGTGAATATGCCCCAGAGGAAGCATCCTTGGATACAAGGCAACACATGGCATCTGCAAATGCACACAGCAACAACCAAAGGTGCATGCAGCAAGGGTAACTTGCCTGGAATGCATTGCATGATATTGCATGTGTTCAACAAGGCCAATCATACAAACATAATTGAAACCGCTTCCAGAAGCAGCACGGTGTAAACTGATGGATGAATCTGAATCACCACGCTCGCAGCTCTGCATGTCCACTACAGGCTCTGTGCAAGGCATGGACAAGTTATGGACTCCTCATGTCCTTTGATTTTGTTGCCCTTCCCGCTTCTTTAGTTTGGGCGGGCCTTTCTAAGTCTTTCAACCATGCCAACGTGGTGACTCTTTGGAAACCACTTGATTGAAAATGGGAAGAACGAACATTTGCAGCTGTCAATCAAGTCGGCATTTAAAAGGAGAGTGTCTCTTCAACAAATGATATGGATTATTGGCTGCTTCAGAGATCACCCAATTTGGCAAGTAAAGCCTTGCTACCTCAGCTAACAGCAACCATGGTATCCATTGGCAACTTGTAGTCGCGGCCTGGGACTTAGGTATGGTTTATTTTTGTGAAGGAGCACAACCTGCTTGTGCAATCTGCACCAATCGAATGAATGCGACAACATCCTGCCGACCCCAATCCCAACATAGAAATAGGGGCAGAAAGCACCTCCCACTTGCACGCAGGAGGTGACCCGAGCTTCAATTGAGCCATGATAAACACCTCGTATTCAAGAAGTCGAAGTCCCGGAAGAGTGTAAAGGATCGAAAGGTCTTGCAGCACCTATGGGAATCGCGACTGTCCATAAGCTCCAACGACATTTCTATTGGGTTCCAACTGGATGTGTGTGTGTGCGTTTTAGGGGACCCCCCAAAAAATAAAGGTTTGCCTTTGGGTTCCCTTCAAAACGCCAACAAAAAGGGTATCCTCAACCTCAACAAAAGACGGACCCAGCCGTCTCTGCTCATTCTGCTGCGCGCATGTCACTGGCCCAAGCCCGTCCGAGGGTCCAAGGCCCAAGAGGTCTCGGGGCTTCCAGAACTGCATGATCGAGCCCCAGAAGGGTAGGGCGCAGGAGAAGGCCACGCTCCTCAGCTTCCCAACAGAACCAGGCTTTAGCGCCGAATCGTTGGTTTGGTGGGTAAGGGAAGCGGTGTCCCATTTACCAAGAAGCAGGAGTTCCATTCCCCAACCTGCAAGAAACCAGCCCTCAGGCAAAAAAAACAAAAACTGAGACCTGGTGTTTCATTTTGTTAATCTTGACATGGTGGTGAGGTGTGGTGAAGAGGAAGTCGACCCACAACAGTCTGTTTGAGGTCCCTCGGAAAGAACTTGACAACCCTCAGGGCTATCAGCAACTGTTCTTTTTGTGACATGCCAAGCATTCCAACCACCTGTCAATACGCACTATACATTCTTTTCTTGTGAACTTTGTTCATCGTGCAAATCGCACAATCCGCGCTTCCAACTGTCATGGGAACTTCAAAGCAATCGAATGCACCACTAAAAGTTATGATCTGTCAACAACGAGCCATCACGATCTATCCCCATCAATATCCACCTTTGGCGAGCCAACATCTCGGGCTTAGCAGCCATCTTGAGAGCAGTGAGGCCTCCAAGTGGGGACATGCGAATCAGTGCAGCTCTTTCAGGGCTCACCATATGTTCCATTTAAACATCTCCGTGCCAAAAGCCAATTGGATTAAAGGCTGATGTTTAATTCACCAAAAGGATAAAGAAAGGGATGGCGAAGGCAAACACGGATCTCTTTCCATCCTCATCACAAGCAATAGCGTAAGAAGCTCGTGAAGTGAGTCCAAGCGTTGCTTTTGATGGCCTTCTGGGAAAACCGATGGCACTTGTAATGAACATAACCCGATTTAAGTGAAACCAGTTGAGTCCGTCAGTAATGAATCAATCTGGCTGCAAAGGACACGTCGTGCTTGCCCTTCTCTGCGGGCTCCAAATGAAACACAGATGTGCGGGCTCCGGCCAATGCTTGCCTCATCTATATCCTCCGAATCACTGGGACAACAATTTTTAATCATTGCGGCCCCCTGGCCTGCAAACAAAAAGGTTGGTGTCGAAGGCAGGCACAAGTACAAAAAAAAAAAACATGCTGGTGGGAGGTTGGGTTTCACCCCCTTTCTTCAGTTTACCTTTGTTTGCCTTGAACACCTTCCAGAAACGGGAAGAAGAACAGAACCCCACTCTGTCAACGGCTTCCTTTGCACCCTGCCAACAATGCGGACTTTGACGAAGGGGGGTTTTGGAAGACCACTTTCCTTTCTGGGACTCTCCGCCTCCCTTAGAAAAGGGGGGCCTCCTCTGTAGATGAACACGACCAGCGGAAAAACCAACCCATGTGGTAAGATTCTTGGGGACAAAGGCTACTCTCCGAAACCAACCCAGGCCCTCCCGAGTCCACTCACTGCTGCCGGCTGGCTCTGCGAAACTGAGGGCCCCCAGATCTCGCGGGCTCGCCTCGATGCTTTTTCCACTCAAGTAGAAGCCGCTAGATGTTCATTGGACACCTCCGTTCGTTCAAATCCTTGCACATCGAGTGGAACCCACTCCTGTGAAAGAGCACAACTTCAGGAAGAAACCAGACCAAGGGGTACAGGACAGGCTCTGGCCCATCTGATCAATCTCATCCGCTTGTCTGTGAACACAAAAGTGGATTTTCAACCAAACGACTCAATTTGTTGTCTGTGTGGGACAACTGTCAGAAAAAATTTGACTTACCATTCGGGCCCGAGCTTTTGACGCATGGCATGTAAATTGGTGCACACAAAGGAGCTCTGCAAAACATGAAATCTGACAACCCCTTTTGATTCCTGTAGGAAGACATTGTGATGTCCTTCAGGAGAAACACATGTTGTGCTATTTGGCTAAATGTCAAAATTGAGATTTGTAGAGCCAACAACGGTGAACTTGTTGGTTTCCCTTGCAAGCAACCTGAACACAGCACCATGGAAAAAGCGACCAAATTGTCCTCCTCCCCTCCCATCACCCATGACACCTGTTTTTGTAGACCTTGCTAACACAGTCAACCGCTCAAAACCCTTTGAATTGTGGCTCTTCTCACATGGTTCTTAAGGTTATGTATTATGTAGGCCTTGCTGGGAAACCACCGAAAGGCCAGGTAAAACCATCTACTAAGCTACTATGGCAAATCGGGTCTTGGATGCTCCATCGCGCCTTCAGCTCCGTCTCCATGGCGCGGAAGGTGGCCGGCAGCAGCGCCTTATCCGCCGCGTCCACTGCGCACGCCTCTGGTTGGGTGGGTTCGTGGGTTGGTGGGTTGGTGGGTTGGTGGGTGGCCAGGTTCGCTATATATCCCTGTGAACATCACCCCTTCGAAGAGAGACTCAGTCAGATTTGGCTCAAGAGGTGTGCTAAGCATCCAATACAACTCTTGGCCCTGGCACATCCTGGCACTCCAAGTGTTCAGCTCCGCGATTGGAGGGCGGCTTACGGAACCGGTGCAACCTCTCACCTCCACACCTCCACACCTCAGCGCAAGAGCCGCCACGTAAGCTGAACGCGAGCGCTCTTCTGGGCATCCGGCAAAGATCACTACCTGGGCAGGGCTGGCATTTGCAATCTAGCAAGCCCATGCCTGAAGAGGTGCCACACTTAAAGGTTCATTGCTAAGCCCCTCGCTGGTCACTTCCCCACTCTCCTAAGCTCCCATATGGAACCTATGTGGCAATCGCCAAACACCCAAGCCAATCTGCAGTGCTTTGGGCAATGCTTTGGATTGTCCAAATGAGGGAGCCACACCATTGGCGGACTTCTTTAGATTTCCTTTTTCACCAGCCATAGAAAGGGTATCCTGAAAAAATAGCCCACCCGAATTCGACCCACTGACAATGATAAGGTAAAGTTGGATGGTCCCCCTGCACGCTTTGGAGCGGGATACTAGTCCCCTATATGTACATTTGACACTAGCAGCCAATGGATGATTTCTTTAGTTTTTTGCTGGATTTCTCGGTTGTCCTCCCATGTCCACCCTTATCTAGTCGGGATGGATGAAGCCCCGTGAATACAGGAAGCCAAACACCTGGTGCCGATCAGTGTAAATGTTGTCCATCAGTCACACTAAGTAAGACTAACTCCCTTTTCCCCCGCCTGCAAAACCAGTGGGAGCATAGGATGTTGTCAGTGTCTCATCTTCTTACCAAGGCTCATAGCACACCCGTTGCGCCGCGGCTCGGTCCAGCCACACAGGCTTTTCGTCCGCAGTCATCGACTTCATTTTGCGCAGCCGGCTGAAGCAAGGCTGACAACCGAACAACTGGCGTTGGGCCCCTGAATGCCAAGGCGTGAGATTGACGTGAGCTGAGCTTGATGAATGTGCGAACAAGTCTACTCTGTAAACCCTGCCTTGCGAGTGCGGGCGGAACGAGCATAGTTTATGCCACAACATCAGTCGGGGCTCTCGAACACCAGGCTCCGGAACAAATCCACACCAAATCCCAGAGTCAAGTCATGGTCTTCAATTCTGTCAAAGGTAGGAGACGACCCCGACCCCGCCATGCCCCGTTCATGCTCATGACCTTCCAACATCCACAGTATTGAGTTTCAACAATCCTGAAGATAGCAGTCCTGCTGCAAGTGGCTTGCAACCTCTCCAAATGGGTGTGATGTTGCATTGTTTCAATTAGGGGCCCCGTGGTGGGGCCAAATGAGACCAAATGTACAACCCCGATTGACCTTCACACAAAACAGCATGTGCAAGATGCAAAAGACGCAGAGAACCAAAAGGTCCATGTTGATGTGAGGTGTGATATCAGTGCAGCAAGAGGAATCCTACGCAAGAGTGGGGCTGGACAAGTGGAACGCATTGCAATTCCCCGCAATGCGGCAGCTGCTTGCGAAGGAACAATGCGCGCGAGTGACCGCCGTGGGTTTGAGACGATATCGCGATTCCATGGAGCGAATCGGGCAGGAATTCATGGAGATCAGCATGCAGGATAGGTGAGCTTCATAAGCCAGAAAGACTGGTAGATACACCAGTACAGTCAGCCGGAAGCCGCCAATAGCGCTCCCTGAAGTAGGCATGTGTCCAAATAGTGGACGGGTTCTCCTTGTGGCCTCCCTTGACAGAAACCTGAAAAGGGCGCCCTCGAATACAAAGTCAATTCAATTGGCAGAATGTCTCAACGTGTGTCACGTAAACGTGGCTGCCCAACTGGGTGCGTTACCGCTCTCGCGGCGGTGGTTGCACTCCAGCTGGCCTTCCGAAACGCGACTTTCGAAAGTTGTTTAGCATCAGTTCAGCTCGAAAGTTGTGTTCCACAAGAGGTCTGTGCGCTTCCAATGTTGAACGGTAAGTGTAAATGGGTCAACTAGGAGTGTCTTCCAAGGAAGCAGCCCTGCAAATGTGTGTGTTCCTCTTGTCTTCTCTAGATCCGGTGAACCAACAAAAAGCAGGAGGTCTTCGAAACAGCTAAGTGTGAACTGCTCTGAACTACGCATTTCTCAAAAGCCCTGCATGGTGCAAGGTTTGCGCAACATGATTCTACCGCCATTCTTTTGGTGTGGAGAGCAAGGCCAAACGACCGTGCTCATGTTTGGCATCACCTTTTTACAGTAAGTGACCTGTGTGGTTTATTGTGGCGCCTTGCTATTCTAGGGCTGGTCAGTTACACCTCCTCCACGCACACAAAACAAAAAAGACAGCGCCCGAAGTCCCAAAAGGTGAAAGAACCTCTGTAGCCCGCCTCTGTTGGGCTGTAAATGGTCTTGAACCTCCCAACTGGGGTCGGCTGGCTTCATAAGCCCGAATGCTGGCCAAGATCTTGCAGGATGAAAGCCTACACTTGGGAGAAACCCAACTGGTGCAGTAGGCCCTCGCCTGGTTCTTGCGCATGTCCATCAGCACCAGAGACATCAGGTCCGGGCGCAGCCCACCGCGGAGCACCTCCTGAGATCGAAAAAGGCCCTCACGGCAAGTCTCACCTGCAAAATCTGTTGGCGTCCTTCCGAGGCTTACAAAACAATGGGCTCGAGTCTTGGACCGCCAAGAGAAAGCTCCCTTTACCCCGTGGGTGACTTCGGCAATGGCAAAAAGAGGTTAGGCCATGCTTTTGACCGCTGACTCCTGACCGTGTTTTTTGAATAGACAAGTGGTAGGCTGAAGGGGGCCAGGACTCCAGACTTTGACAATAGAAGCTGCGAACATGGGCCCAGCCTCAGCCGGTGTTGGACATGGCTCCGGGCCGATCCACTCATCAGACCGAGCCGACAAGTTTCAACGAACAGTTTTCAAGAGGGTGGCTCTGAGTGGCCACAACTGCCTGCACAGGGCTCCCTATCCCTGAAGAACCTTCCAAGGAAACTCACATTAACATCGTGCTTCCAACACGTGGTCTGCGAACCAAGTTAAATCAGCTCACTTCTAAACCGTGTTTCTGAAAGGTGACCGCACATTGTGAATCAATTCACCTTGAAGTGGCCCAAAAAGCGATCTACAAAACCAATCCACTCACCCAATCTGGGCAACTCCCACCGGAAATAAGGAACCCCTATGAAAGCAAACTTCACTTTGGCTAAAATCGCAAAGAAGTCAACCCCCCACAATCCCCATCAACCACGGGAAATCCCATCCCATTGCACCCGCGGGGTTTCCCGCTTGTCTTTCTTTTCGGATCGGGGCGCTGGGCTCTGCCAGATCTCCACGGGCTCGTGGGGCTCGAAGTTGCACACGTCCCCACCCCTCTCGACTTCCCCTGCCATGAGCGGTCCAAATGATCTGATCTGCCCCTCCCCCCACCACATCCCCCCAAAAAAATGGAGATAAATCTAGATCATGTCGTAGAATATCGTGTGCGCCTGTCAGGCTTCAATATATATTATATGATGTTGTCGAATAGTTTATGGTTGATAACTAGAATCTGAACACGTTCACATCAAATATATACAAATACATGGTTATCATACAAGTAAGTATTTCCAGTTGTTCATTACTATCAAATAATAACATAAAATGAATCCGCATATTATTGATAGAACAAGCCAATGTGAATTGCTGGATTGGACTGCGTGCGCCATTACCAACTCTCCAAGGAAAAGCCTGCCAGTTCCATCAAGCAGATCAACACCGCCAATGCCGATGGGTGCCAGGGTCAAACTCCTAGGCCTTCTAAAAACTACAAAGAGGTTGGTGACCATCTTTGGATTTTCGTGACGGCACATCATTTTTTCGGCCAAAGACAAGGAGCCAGACTTAAGATGGCCCAAACAGCAAGTTTTGGGTAAGTCACTGTCGAATTCTGTGTTGTTGTTTGGTCATGGTGTTTGGCATAAGCAAGGATCTCAAAAACCTGCCGCCACAAATCCGCTGATGATGGTTGTATTGGTTGAAACCGCAGGAGGGTTTCCAGCCACAGCCCCAAAGAAAAAACTGGAGCATAGAACTTCCGAATGCAGAGGACAACCGAGGTGTTCAGCACACTAAATGTGGCAACGCCGGGAGGGGCTTCCCCGCAAAAAATGACCCAAGCAAAGACCAGACACAGGGACCAAATTACGAAAGGGCTCAACCCGCTGTTTTTTCCCCGGAGAAACTTAGGTTGGCCCCCCTTTCTGGTCCTCCCCAAACCAACAGTAGACCAACAATTGTGTCAGTTACAAGGTCGGCTACACCCCGAACCTTCACCTCAGCTTTTGACGGTGGCTCACGTGCGGTGCCTATCAGCATGAGCTGCCGCATGCCATCCACAAGTAGGATACTCTCCTGAGTGCACCGGCACCCCGCGCCATACTCCTTTGACCCGGCTGGATTTTTTGGGCGCTCGTAAACTAAGAGGTTAGGTCGAATGAAACTAGGGACACGAAGAATAGAGACAGACAAATCTGACTGCTCTCCGCTTACTTCAGTGAACATGTTCCACCTCGCACTTGGGACCTCAAGCGACCATTTGTGGGACGCACATGTTTTGGGCGCTCCAGTGGTTGGAATCCGTTTGGCCCGTACAAAAATGCCCAAAGATTCCAGCCACAGTGGCTACTGCAACAATATACAGGCCACCATGCAAATGGACTTCCAAGCAAGATGTCTGCTGAGAGGGCAGCCCCCCCCCCGAACATCAAATATCTAACCTAGTTTGCAAAACACAACAAATTGAGGCGGAAGTCACACCAAAGCCCACCCCCTTGTCCAAGCACCAGTCTCTTTCAGGGCAATCCATACGTTCAAAAACCTGGTTTTCCAGGGCTTGGCATCATACCCATACGAGTGGGACATTTGTCGTAGAGGGCAGCAGAGGTTTGGCATAATGCGACAAGCCGGGTGCCAGAGCCAACGCCCCTAGGCAGGCTGGACTGGAAGCGCGGGGTGGCCAAAAACATATGGCCTCCTGTTCAAAGCAGGCCAAGATGATCAAATGAGTTCCAACAACAAGCAACCTGATTCGGAATCGAGACTTTCCCTGGCGTGCTTCTAGAAGAAGATGGACACAACCCCAATCACCTGAGTGGCAAGCTCCATGCTCCATACAGGTTGTGGGAGAATTGCGAGGATCCCCAGAATACATTTTCGAAATCGTTAATCTGCGAAGTTGGATGTGGTTTCCATGCTTCACATTCGGTTTGCCAGCTGTGTTGGTTTGTCTGCTATTTGTTTTGCTCATTGTTTGGTTGGTTTCAAGCGATGCGTTGGGTTGTATTGGTTGGTTTGCAAGTCTATTGGTTGGCTTGGAAGTCTGCTGGTTGGTGCCACGCTCGAGTCACGTTGAAAAACCTGAACAAAAGGCTCATGTGCGCGCGTGCGTGAGTGCGTGTGTGCGTGCGTCGTTGCGTTGCGTGTCGTCGATGTGTGGTGCGGTGGTTGTGTGTGTGTGTGCGTGTGTGTGCGTGTGCGTGTGAGTGTGCGTGTGCGTGTGCGTGTGCGTGTGCGTGTGCGTGGTGCGTGTGGGTGCGTGTGCGTGTGCGTGTGCAGTGGGTGTGCGTGTGTGTGTGCGTGTGCGTGTGCGTGTGCGTGTGCGTGTGTGTGTGCGTGTGGTGTGGTGTGGGTGTGTGTGTGTGTGTGTGTGTGTGTGTGTGTGTGTGTGTGTGTGTGTGTGTGTGTGTGTGTGTGTGTGTGTGTGTGTGTGTGCGTGGGTGGGTGGGTGCGTTTCTGTGCTTGCGTGCGCGCGCGTGCTTGCGCGCGCGTGCTTGCACGTGCGTGCTTGCGCGTAGGTCCTTGCGCGTGCGTGCGTGCTTGCGCGTGCGTGCGTGCTTGCGCGTGCGCGTGCTTGCACTTGCGTGCGTGCGTGCGTGCGTGCGCGCGCGTGGGTGTGTGTGTGTGTGTGTGGGTGTGTGTGTGTGTGTCTGTGTCTGTGTGTGTGGGTGTGGGTCTGTGTGTGTGTGGGTGTGGGTCTGTGTGTGTGTGTGGGTCTGTGTGTGTGTGTGTCTGTGTCTGTGTCTGTGTCTGTGTGTGTGTCTGTGTCTGTGTCTGTGTCTGTGTGTGTGGGTGTGGGTCTGTGTGTGTGTGTGGGTGTGGGTCTGTGTGTGTGTGTGTGGGTCTGTGTGTGTGTGTGTCTGCGTGTGCGTACGAGTGTGCGTGGCTGTGAATGTGTGAGCGCGCGCGGATGTGTGTGTGTGTGTGTCTGTGTGTGTGTGTGTCTGTGTCTGTGTCTGTGCCTGTGTATGTCTGTGTCTGTGTATGTCTGTGTATGTCTGTGTGTGTGTGTGTGTCTGTCTCTGTGTGTGTGTGTCTGTGTGGGTGTGTGTGTGTGTGTCTGCGTGTGCCTGCGTGTGTCTGCGCGTGTGCATGCGTGCGTGCGTGCGTGCGTGCGTGTGTGCGCGTGGGTGTGTGTGTGTGTGTGCGTGCGTGTGTGCGCGTGGGTGTGTGTGTGTGTGTGTGTGTGTGTGTGTGTGTGTGTGTGTGTGTGTGTGTGTGTGTGTGTGTGAAGCGTCCTGGAGCACGGACGGAAATTCCACATTGCAGGGGGACTGGAGCCGATTTGCCTATCCAGTCCAATGAAGCTACGGCATTTCGGTGGATACCGGATCTGATCAATCCGGCGTACCTGCCTATTTCCTGACCCTCTTTCCTGATTCCTTTTGAGGTTTCTGTTTGTCGCTGTTGCTTCCTGTTCGGTGTCGATGTTGTGACCTGTTGATTTGCGTTTGCATTCAAGCATTTTTACTGACTGCGTTTTTCATCTCGGCTAGTGAAGCCTCTCGAGATAAGTGTGTTTACCCACGGCCTGTCCGACATGGCGCTGTGGGCTGGACTCGCCACATGCGGGAGCCCCCTGCGAGGGGAAGACCGTTCAAGTGTTCAAATTCACGCTGCAGTTCAGTGTTCAGCGCGATTTTGACCACGATAATGGCCTGTCAGCTTGAGGTTCTTAAGGTAAGATTTTCTTTTAATTTTTTGTTTTTCCTTTATTTTTTTTTTTTTTATTTATTTTTTTAGTGTTTTTATTTTTTTTTTTCCCACCCTTTTTCGCCAACCACACCCAAATGGTGCTCTGCTGGTTTCATGCGCGTTGCACTGCCTGCACTGCCTGCCTTTGAAGCAAGGCTGCACCCACGAGGTTTCAGGTTCCTAAGCTTCATGCGCCAGTGACGAGTTGGTCATACACCAACTCTGCGATTCGTGGCGTTTATGGAAGCTTTCGTCTCGGATGAGTTCAGTTCAGATTCATCGGCATAGCCACATGAGGCACTTTCATGAGGCCACTTGACAGGCACCTCTGAGAACCCCTTTGTGCTCGCATGCATTTCTGTGGAAACTTTTGCCGTTGCCGCGGGGTTTTGGCGGTCCCCTGGTGGAATTCCCTCTGTTTTGTTTCGATTCGCAGGTTGAAGTTGGCTCGCATGCATTTGCACCATTGACGCATTTTTGCCGCAGTTGTGGTTTTGTTTTCACCCCTTTCCAACCTTCTCTCTCCCTTGCGAGATGGCTGGACACCAGCTCTATGACATGATGCATTCGCTCCTGCATAGCATTGCGACCGGCACCGCGTCCGACTCACCAGGCAATTGTGGACCGAACTTGCAGCTGTCATCCCAGATGACGCAGCCCATGAACCTTGTACCGTCACCCAACTCGCAGACGGCATCCTTCACACCTTTCCCCATGATGCCCTACGGCGGCCTCTCGAACTTTGGCAACCCGATGGCCTTGATGCCCTACGGTGGCCCTCCCAATTACGGCAACTTGGCACCTGGCACCATCATGCCTTTCATGACTCAGAGCGGCATGCCATCTTCACCGCCCGAGCCTCAGCCGGCGCGCGCGCCCGAAGCTGCCGCTGCGGCTCCTGCCGCTCCCTCCTCAACCAACCACCCTCCCCCGGACACTCGGCACCATCCCCACTCTCGCAGATCCCGTTCCCGCCACAGACAGCACCGACACTCCCACTCCCACACCAGCCACCATCGCAGGCACAACAAGTCGCACCGACGACACGACACCCGACGATCCCGCAGCTACAGCAGGTCACGTTCCCTTTCCCGACACTCCCACCACTCCCGACGTGCACACCACTCCACTGTCTCCCTCCGCTCCCGCTCCCCCCCTCGCCCCCCCCCCTCCACCGACCCTCCGGCCCCCCTCGATGCCACACCCACTTCCAACCCCATACCTACCCATCCTACTCCCTTTTCCTCCCTATGCTCCTTTGTTGTCGCCCCTGTACCTCTCGCTGTCGAGCGCGCTCCCACTCTGCCACGCCTCTTTCCCCATCTCGAGCTCCCCCCGACACAGGTCCCACCATCGACACTCCCCTGCACCCAGAGCCACGACTTCGCACCGACCCACTCACACTACTCATGATTCCACCTCCTGGCGCACTTCCGGGAAGGATTACAACAAGTCTCAATGGTCCTCCTCACACTGGCGGAACCAATCGTGGGGATACCCACCACAGAACAAAAACCGCTGGGACATGCACCACCATGGCGCCAGCCACACCGGCCACCAAAACAACCAGGACAAACGATCGTCCTGGTCACTGCAGCACCATGGGCAGCAACCCCACCCCACTTCCCGCACCGGCCACCACAACACTAGCTTGCCCCCTCACCCCGCACCTGCGGCGGCCTTCACTTCCACTCCCCCTCCCCCTCCCCGACCCACGCCGGCTACTCCTCACCCTCCCCAACCCCCCTTCGACAACACCGGTGATTTGGATCCCCCTCCATCGGAGGCGGACATCAATGACACCACCACTTCCGACAACCGGTGGCTTGATCTATGGAGAAACGTCATGGACACGGCCAAGACTGACCCGCTGCGAGTTCCCACGCCTAGGGAGTTGGGGGAGCTGGACCCGCTTCCAGCCTTGGACATCTCCAGGGTGGAACAGACTAAGGCCATTATGATGGACCTGGACCCTGCTTTGCCACCTTCACATGCCGATCTCCTCGCGGAATGCTGGGAACTGCGAACCATGGACACGGATGATCCCATACCGTTCGATCCCAGCTTCTACCACATCTTGGGACGGGAATCACACGGCATGGTGTTCGCAACCACTTGGTTTCCCCGACCTCATCCTTGGCCAGTTGCTGGCGGAGACCCGGACGCTGGATCCGGCACGGCCTCCCATCACGCTGTCATGTATGTGCACGGCACCACCCCGGATCGAGTGCGCCGCATGTGCCATGAGTACATGATCCGACCCGCTGCTTGGAGGCCCGAGAACCATGACTACCCGAGCTTTGGATGCTACGCTCAGGCCACCCCCACGGCATGCACGCCCGACACGCTCGGCCAGCTCGTGCAGAACTTTACAATCGGAA